CCCCACAGAGCAACCATGAGCACGTGTTCCTCCAAGGCGAGGACAAGCTGTACATGAGCACGGGGGACACCATGTCACGTGGGTCCTCACAGACGCACAACCTCCGCGGCAGCTCGGCCTCCATCAACTCCAGCCACGGCTACATCGGCAACAAGCAGTGGCAAGTCATCCCCATCTCGCACAGCTACCTGGCCTCTAACTGGCCCATACGGGTACGTCCAGCTCGCTCGTATATTTATATCTACACCTGGGGTTCCATTCCACTGAGGTGTTTATTAGAGTTCAAGTTCGTAAAACTCTTACAAGAACCAAAAAAAAAAAAATCCTGCTGATTATTTGTCATTATGTTAGTGTTGTATCACCTATAAAATGGCAACTTGCACTATATGCAAGGATGCCACTTTTCCGGTATTTCCGGTATTTTGATCCTGATCCGCTACTCCGTTATTGAGATTGAGATAGAATCTATAGTTGGAAAAAAAAAACCTCGCACACACAACAACTTGCGCCAAATTGTCATTTCTTTCTATGTACACCCATTGCTTATGTTTGTTTGTCATCTGTCTCTATGTACACCCTTTGCTTATGTTTGTTTGTCATCTCTCTCTATGTACACCCATTGCTTATGTTTGTTTGTCATCTGTCTCTATGTACACCCTTTGGGTTTCAAATTGATTTTCATATGTTAGCGAGACTGTGGCTCCTGGATTTTCAGCTATTTTCAAAAAGGTTGAGGGGCATCCCTGTATATGCCAGGAAGTTGAGATTGTTTCAGAATGCTATCTGGTCTGTTGGAGTAATAATATTGATTGTAAACTGCGTAGAGCTTGCTGTTGAGTGGGAATTAGCTCTATACAAATGCTATTTATTATTTTTATTATTGTTGTTATTATTATTATTATTATGGAGTCGGGGAAACATTAACCACCCACGGCATCCCCCTGACCCAAGCTCTCGAGCTGGCGACAGAGAGACGTCTCTTTTTTCCCGCGACACCCAAAAGGGTATAAGTGGCGGATAAAGGGAAGTAAAGTTACTATTATTATTATTATTATTATTATTATTATTATTATTATTAATAATAATAGATAGCATTTGTATAGCGCATATCCCCGCTCAACAGCAGGCTCTATGCGCTTTACACTATATTATTACCCCAGCAGACCATAGAACACTCCGAAACATTCTCAGCAGACCATAGAACACTCCGAAACATCCTCAGCTTCCCGGGAAGCATACTATTAATATAATATTATTATTATTATTATTATCTATGTGTTTGCATGCCTCAGTACGCCTCGGTGGACCGGGCGGGCCAGTGCGTGGCGGTGGCTGGCAAGACAGGCTTCGCTCACTACGCTCTGTTCAGTCGCAAGTGGAAGCTCTTCGGCAACGAGACACAGGAGAGAGACATGGTGGTCTCGGGCGGGATCACCTGGTGGAAAGATTTCGTCTGCCTGGCCTGTTTCAACATTCAGGGACAGCGCGACGAGGTACGCTCATACCTTATTTTGTTTAAGGGGCTATTTTTGTGGATAAGATATTGTGGTTTTATGGTGTTTTTGGTTTGTTTGTTTGTTTGTTTTTTTGGGGGGGTGGATTAGGTATGGTTTTATGTTGTGGGGGGGTTTTTTGGATATGATATTATGGCTTTATGCTGTTTTTGTTGGCGGTTTTCATTAGACATTATGGTTTTATTGTGGGGTGTTTATTTTTTTTGGTGATTTTATGATGTTTTTGTTTTTGGGGGAGAGGGGGTGGATAAGGTGTGGTTTTATGTTGGGGTATTTATTTTTTGGATAAGATATTGTCGTTCATTTTATGTTGTTTTTATTTTATTTTAGTTTTTTGGTATAAGGTTTAGTCTTACCGCCATTTCTTTTTAATGGAGGGGGGCGGAGAGGGGGTATATGAAATTTAGTATACCTTTGACCACTGAGGCCTTGTTAGATAAGCAGGTAGTAGAAGTCCTACTTCTTTGCTTCCCTTTGTGGTTTCCGAGTGTCTCTCATGCTTTCCTTTGTTGTTTCCGAGTGTCTCTCATGCTTTCCCTTTGTTGTTTCCAAGTGTCTCTCATGCTTTCCCTTTGTTGTTTCCAAGTGTCTCTCATGCTTTCCCTGTACAAAATGACTAGTATCATGTGCATTTGCTTCTCTTTACTGAAACGCGATTTGATTTTTTTTTTAAACAAACCAAAAAAACTGTTGGCAATGTTTTTCCTCTCTCCCCTCTGGCAATCTTGGTAATGTTTTTCTGTCTCTCCTTCACACTTTTGGTAATGTTTTTTTTTTGTTTGTTTTTTCTCCTTCAGACACTTTTAGTGATGTTTTTCTGTCTCTCCTTCAGACACTTTTAGTGATGTTTTTCTGTCTCTCCTTCAGACACTTTTAGTGATGTTTTTCTGTCTCTCCTTCAGACACTTTTAGTGATGTTTTTCTGTCTCTCCTTCAGACACTTCTGGCAGGAAAGATCTACACCTAGCCTTTTCGGACTAGGGCGAAAAATCTCGGAGGGCCCATGTGCAAGTTGCGCATGTTAAAGATCCCTTGGTGGTCTAAAATGGATAAGAGTAGGCTTCGGACGCCGCCCGGGCAAAATTCAAAATTTCCTACCAACTGAAAATATTAGGTGTGTCCCGCGCGCTCATATGACCTTATGCAGTTGCGAGCGCCGTAAAACACTTTACAAACAAAACACATTTGGTGATGTTTTTCTGTCTCTCCTTCGGACACTTTTGGTAATGTTTATCCCTATCCGTACATCGTGTTTTACTATCGTATCCATATGACGTTGGGAACCACCACTTTCCAAAGAGGAAATTTACTCGTTAATCCGACCCGTACGCTTTGCATAGCAATCTGTCAAAATGATACTTTGTAGAAATACTGAAAGTTTTAAAAAGGTCTTCGTACTAGAGGTATTCTAAAATGTGAAAAGTACAACCCTGGGGGTACAAAATGACCCCAGGGCGTACGGATAGGGTTAACTGTTTTTCTGTGTCTCCCCTCAGATCCGGTGCTACCCTCGCACGTGTAAACTGGACAACACGTTCTCCCAGGTGGTGCGCGTCCAGTCGCAGGTGCTGCTGCTCAACACGTTCCGAGACATCCTCATTGTGTTCTGCGCCGACAGCCACGTGGCCATGTTCAGTCTGGAGAGGAAGAACACGCAGCCCAGTACGTTCTCCGCATG